TCTGGGACTCTCCACCATTTGACCTTAGAACTGAAGAAGCTTCTCAGATGAGAGGTGAAACATCTTCAAGTAACTTAAAGAAGTACAGATGCTTTTCTTTGCAATTTCCTTAGACAACAACAACAAAAACAACAACAATATGCATTAAAATAAAATAATCTTTCTTTTTACAGCCATTAAAATATGGCATCATGCCTCATGTTCTATCATTTAACACAAAGGACAGAAGTTTATCATTCAGTCAGGATTTGTGAAAGTTTGCACCACATAAACGGAGCTTCCAGCAAGGAATTCATCGGCCTCAATATTTATGATCACAGTGCTGCCTTTTATTGATATTTGGTTACTTAATTACTTAGTCATGATTATTTAGTGTATTTATCTTTCAGAATGATGGATTGGCCTCTTTGTGTATTATCTCTATCTAGCTAAAAATAGTCCCTGTTAGTGAGGATGTCTGGATGTGTTTGCTGATATGACACAGACCAGTCGTGCTTTTGTTGCATCATTCCTGTCGTTCTCTTCTTTCACGTTTTTTGTTCAGTTTAGGACCAAACTAAATGGTAGATGTAAAAGTAAATAAAACCAAAAAACATTCATTCCACAAGGATGCAAGAATAAATCTTTGTGTCATAAAACATAATGTAAATACTGTGATTACTCTCAGCTTTCTAAAAATGCAGCTCATTCAAAATGTTTTTTCCTGTTGTTTATTTTTTTTTAATAAAACTGCTGTTAAAACTAAATTTATATAAAGTGCATTTAACTTAAAATGAAGAAGAAGTCTTTCACTTCAGTATTCTCTCATAAGTTTGCAGGATTGACATTATTTTATTTGTCATTTATGTTTGTGGAAACAAGTTTGCGTATTTTAATTAAACCAACATATATCTCTGATACAGGCAGGCAAATAAAAATAAATAAATTAGTGAGTGTTTAAAGAACAGCTTGTCCATGCCCACTATGATATCACTGACATGTTGGTCTCCTTAAGCTGTGTTTAAATGTGTTCGAGAAATAAACGTGACTGACTGAGAAAGAACAGGAGAGTCACTGAGTGGTCCAGCTGTAATCGGCCGGGGTGACTTTAGTCTGGCTGAGAGGGATCAATTCTTCACAGGCTCTGAAGTGCATGTGCTCATAGGTCACAGTTTTACTTCACATAACCGAGTAGTTTCGTTGGGTTTTCTGAATCTGCAGACACACAGATTGACAGTGATGGAGATTAAAATCACATCAACATTTTCAGATTAAGTTAATCTCAGTTAACTTTAAAATCTTTGTTTGATTTGTGAAACAGGACACAGAGGTGTCATTCATGCTTGCAACAATTAATGTAAACAGTTTTATTTCTCATCTGTAACTTTAATCTTTCTAGATGAACATTTCTAACCGAGTTGGTTTTATTTATTAACATTATATTAGAAGAGTATAATTAGTAACTGTTAAACAATCGCTTAAGAACTTATCCTATGATTTCGTGTTGAAATGTAAAAACTGATGAAAAAAAGATGAATGAAAAAAAACTCATGTTGTATTCTGAATATAAAAATAACCAACAGTGATCAAAGGAAGCCATTATTATTATGTTTATACTATCATAGAGTGTTTTGGTTATATTTACAGTAAGATGTTCAGAGGCTGCACAAACAGCTTTGTTTTAACTGTTTCTTTTAAAGGCTCAGAGAGAAGAAGCCCTCTGAGAGCATGAGAGGCACTCCTTACATGGACGGATTAACGTTGGTGGATTTGGACTGGCTGCTCTTAAAGCTCTGTGACACTGTTTTTCTTCAACTACAGTGTATCCTCCAGAGAATTAACAGGCCAGAGACCTCTACATTTCTTGGAAAAGTTCCCCTCAACATGGAAACTTAACAGACCAGTTGTGCTGAAATTAAGTGGCACTGCATATCTGCATATCTGCATCTCTGAAACTGCACGGTGCTCGATTTATCTGTAATCCTATGAGTATCAGGTTGAAATGTAAAAACAGCTATTTATCATGCTAAGTACATTAAGCTTTGCAACCAGACATGCTCAAACTCCTGCAAATACAAAATGAAATATTCTATTTGATATATGTCCTCAATATAATGGATTGCACTTATGTAGCGCTTTTCGAGACCCTCAAAGCCCTTTACAATGCCACTATTCATTCACTCTCATATTCACACGCTGGTGGAGGCAGCTACAGTTGTAGCCACAGCTGCCCTGGGGCAGACTGACAGAGGCGAGGCTGCTGGACACTGGCGCCATCAGTGGCCAACACCAGTAGGCGGTAGGGTGAAGTGTCTTGCCCAAGACATCAAAACAGTTTGATCATCTTTGCTCTGCAGCAGGAGATTTGCTGTTTAAGTGTAAACACATATCTGGATAATTAGCTTCTGATACAAACTGTAGTTTTCCCTTTTATCGCTCTTTGGTGTGTTTAACAGTAAGAACTCACTGGACAATGTAAAAACGAATCTTGTTATGAAATGACATTTGTTTAATTTTGTTTGTTAAACGTTCATATAGTTCTTCACAGAGCTGACCGGAACCATTACCTGTGCTGGGTTAACATGTTACAAAGTAACTTGTTACTGTTATCCATAATTACATTACAGTTACAGTTATACTGACACTTGTGTTATAAAGCTTCCTAAGTTATCTGCATGCTGCATATAGAAAGCATAAAAGGACAGAAAAACTTCATTGTTCTGTTAGAGAAATTTGGGGTTTTGCAAGCATCTGCAGAGGTACTGTGCAATCATGAAGCTAGGCAACACCCCAGAGTCATGTCACAGCTGAGTCATTTGGGAAATGCAGTAATGTAACACATTACTGATGGTTCCAACACCATCATTAAGTTTGCAGATGACACCACGGTGATTGGCCTCGCTTCTTCTTCCCCACAGCTGTCAGACTCCTGAACTCTGCCTCCTGACATCTGACCCACGTTAACACATGGACTGAACATACACACACCCACAATGGACAACTGTACCCTCAAACACACAATAATAACATGGACTGAACCACCACTCACAACCAGCAATACTTCTGTATAGTTTTTCATATTTATATCCTGTTCATAGCCTGTACATAGCTTGTACTCACTACAGCCTGTACATACTTATAGTTATAGAATATTCACAACATACTTCATACCGTGTACATTATAACATACCATAATAGACCCATTTCTGTAATATACTCACATATCTATATTATTGCTAATATATATTGTAATATATCTATATCACTAAAGCACTTCTGGATGGATGCAAACTGCATTTCGTTGCCCTGTACCTGTGCATGTGCAATGACAATAAAGTTGAATTCTATTCTATTCTATTTATAGATAAAGTATCATCTGCATAGCAATGAAAATGTATGTTTTCTAATAATATTGTGTAAGGGAAGCCTGTTTAATATATGTGTCATTTAAACAATAATGGTTCCAGCACAGAACCCTGAGGGACTCCTTAACTAACTTTTGTGTGCAGAGCTTTTCTCATTTACATGCAAACTGGAGTCTATTAAACAGACATGATTTCATTTAATGGAAGACTTAATTTTGAGGGAGAAATTCGAGAGTATTTGTATCCGCAATCTCGTTCTTTGGTCACTACCACACAGCTCTGGACCATGGGTGAGTAGGGACGTAGATCGATGGTAATTTGAGAGCTTTGCTTTTACACTCAGCTCTCTCTTCACCACGATGGACCGGTACAGCGTCCGCATCACTGCAGCTGCAGCACCAATCCGTCTGC